CTGCGATAGCCCTTGAAGGTTGCGCTATGTTGAAATAAGTAAGTGAATGAATAAAATAACACCTTAAGCCATCGCGCCTGATAACGCAAGCGTCCTCCGTTAGGATGTATCTGTGCCACTGTACATCCTAACACTTTACGTCACTGCATCCTGTTATTAAGGGCAATGATTGTTCGCGCAAGAGACGAGTTCGCGAACCATGCTTTTTACTAAATTTTATTTTATGACGTGGATCGAAAGAAAGATTTTTTTTTCGTCCTTCAGTTCGTCAGGTGTTACTCAAATATTCTTGTTTTGAGCAAGTTGGACACCGCCGTAACTACACTTAACGAAATGATGATCACGCTTGATTTGTTTCCTTAAATCGGGAAGTTCTTAGAATGGAAAACATTTTGGTCCTCCAATATTTATAGTCATAAAGTGGTTGCTACTGCGGGGTGGTATTTGCTGCTAGCCCACCTAAGCCTGAGCGTATCAAAATTCTGTGAAAGGGGCAGGTCGCGCTAATACTGCATAACGTTTCAACATTGCTTGACCACATGATTTTGTATATATTACCAAATGTAATTAATCCCTCATGATATCTTTTATCTATACTGGCGTTGTTTTTTACGTATGTTGTAATAGTTAATTAGTTATTCTGTCACTGCATTTCATCTTATTGTGTGATCTAGTACACACTGCTATCTATGCATGTTGTGTAGTGTAAGCATCATGGAGGTTCACTTTATGCTTATCCACCCTTACACAAATAACCACCTGAGGCCTGTAACGTATTTGTCAATAAATAAATAAATAAATAGAGAAATAAATAAATAGGTGTGTGTGTGTGTGTGTGTGTGTGTGTGTGTGTGTGTGTGTGTGTGTGTGTGTGTGTGTGTGTGTGTGTGTGTGTGTGTGTGTGTGTGTGTGTGTTGCCAAGCTGGAAAGTGCAAAGGCAGCCACAACGAGCAAGACAGTGCGGCGCGGCAAGGTACTATATGTATATGTATAAAAATAAACAAATGTTTTGTTTACACATCCAAAGGCTCCCCTACCAAGAGCGACTACAACGCCGTGCCGGGCTGTTGACCCTATACGCGGTCCTGTAAGACTTTAGTGACCCTGGAAAGGTGAATGGCAAGCCTGTCAGCCACCGTGCCGCTCAAGGCGAACACAGTCATGCGTATGCTTGGAAGATCCATCAGCGGATGACCCGCGGCCGACCGTGCACTTTGGCCCAGTGCTTTTCAAAAGACGTTGGCAGACAAGAGACAGACATTAAGCAAAAGAGAACGGCTGTAAAGGCACAACGGGACGACCGCCACGACTGCGTGCCTCTTGAAGCTAATGAAATGGCGGCGGGTCCGACGAGATGCGACTGCTCGAGTTGACGTCATTCTGCCTCTCCATTTGCGCGCCCCTCGGTCCGTTTGGCGTTGCGGGCCGCCGAGTCAAGTTTACTGGGCGGTACGGCCGCGAATTTCGAGGGGAGAAGTCGTTCACGTTTGAACCTGGCTTTGAACATGCAAGACTTCTAACGACTGAAAGTGCCAAGTGTAACCTCTCCCGCACTGACGCGAGGATGAGGAGGAGGAAAGGAAGCACAGGGAGGTTAGCCAGTTCCCAGACCGGCTGGCTAGCCTGTGCTGAAGAAAGGGGTATGGAAATTAAAAGTTGACAGAAAAAATATGGTAAAAGAAAAAAAGAAGAAGAAGAACGGTACGATCGCCCTGCCGGGGTGGTCTATAGTGGCTAAGGTATTCGGCTGCTGACACGCAGGTCGCGAGATCAAATCCCGGCTGCGGCGGCTGCATTTTGGATGGAGGCGATGGATGTATGGATGCATGAATGGACGAACGGATGGACGTGCGGACTTTGTTTAATCCTTCGTAACGCGCTTTAGCACGTTGCGGCCAGTTCACACATCGGCACTGAAAGACCAAGTGTTTCTGCTGCGTCACTGGCCCGTTGGACTGCCTATAACTGTTGTTCGAGTCCACAGCTTGTAATAACACCCTCCCATCTGGACGGCGTGATGGCTTCCAGACAGCGTAACGCGGGGCACCGTCAAGAGGAGGTGGAGGAGGAGGAAAAATACTTTATTACTAAATACGGCGACCTTGGTGGGGCGAATCCCACCCCTAAGTGTCAGCCAGGAGCCCTTGGGCACTGGCGGCGTCCTCGGCCCGTCGAATTGCCCATAGCAGTTCCTCTGGGTCTTAGCTGTGTGGCACGGTCTCCCAATGCTCATCATTATCAATTGTGCGATCCTGTCGGACAGCCTTTAGGAGGGCCTACAGGATGTGAGATAGGTCCGCCCTCAGTTCCTTGCATAATTTGCACCTGTCTATGTATTGACTTTGGTAGTAGTGGCTTTAGGCCACCGAGTTCGTGTACGTGTTTGTGTAAAGGAGGCGCCTGGCCACCGCTTGCCTCTCGCTAAGTGTGTGGTTACCGGGCTACCGGGATACCGGGCCCTTTCCAAAGGATACCGGGCCCTTTCCAATCAATAAATGCTCCTTTAATCCCCTCACCCCTTCCCCCAGTGCAGGGTAGCAAACCGGACGTGCGTCTGGTTGACCTCCCTGCCTTTCATTTCTTCCCTTCCTCCTCCTCCTCCTCCTCCTCCTCCTCGTGATTTCCTTGTAGGCGACCATGCGGGCACCATTAGAGTGTATGTTCCAAGTTAGCAATATCGTCCCAGAAGGAACACGAATTAGTTTTCTGTATTTCGGAATAAATCTTCTTCCATAGCATGGGGTTAAGGTCCAAATTTACACGCTTCAGTCAGCGTCAACTAGCAAATCTATCGAAATCATTAAATGTCCCCAGCGCCATGCCTCTGCTACGTGTTAATGTTGTTGTTGTTGGCGCTGATCTCCACACATAATTTTTATAATCATACTTTAATTCTGTTTTTCCTTTTTTATCTGTGACAGTATCCTGCACAATGCTTTGATGCATAAAACTCGGAGAATATTTTTGATAATCCTACTGTGACTGTGCTTTCTTTGCGTGCTTCTCTGTGACCTGCACAATGCTTTGATGCGTGCAACTTAGAACAGAACACGGTCGCTTCGTGAAATGAGGCGATGTCATGACTGAGTACCAGCAATCCCTGCATTTAATATATATTTTCTTATATGTCCACGTGACCGCATGGTGCGCTGATACGTGCTATAACGCTTGCCAGGGCGTGCGTATTCGCATGGCGGCGATCATACGCGTTTTCCATACCAGGACAAGCAGTCTCCGATGCATGGGCGAGTGTTTATAATTCAAACCGTAGCGTGAGCACCGATTCTATCACGATGGAGCTGAGATCGGCACGTGAATCAAACGATCCGGTCCTTTGTGCACAATGAAATTTGCATCCGGGTCGCGCTCACGAATAACAAATCGCATATGGACGTTCGCTCACGTCAGCCGCTGTGAGGTGCGCGTACGTCGGGCGAGAATAACCGGTCGCGGCTTCGATAAGGAACCCTGGCGAGGCAGAAGTCGTTCGAATCGTCACTGACTCTTTAAGGCGAGGCGTCAGCGGCCGTTTTTCCGGAGCTTACTTACAGTGTAATGAACTCTTTGCGCTGTGTGAAGTGACGTTGATGTGCCGGTCCAAGAGAAGCCTTCGTCTCGGCATTTTCCGTATGGCGCCGATACTTGACTGAGTCGCCTGTACAAATGCATGCGTGAACGAAGAAGGGGGAGTGTACAGACGGGCTCATACATTTAATAGACGTAACTTAACTAAACAAACAGAAAATGAAGGAAAATAAATCATATTTAGGGTGTGTCGCTTGCAGTTGTTTGTTGTAGTGTAGTGAGAATGTGATAAATAGTAAATTATTTATTTGAAGTAAGCTTTGTTATAACTTTAATAACATTGTCTTGAGCGTTGTTAACTTTTAATAATCAATAACTTAACCATTAAACTTTAGTTCAATAATTAAAACTGCAGTGTGTTGCATTTTTTTCCAGGAATGTCACTCGAACACAAATTGAAACTTTAGTAAGGTCTAAAGGGATATCGCTTCGAAATAGTTTTTTCAATAATAAATGACATGTTTAGATTTTGATATACGGCATTAAAGATCATGCTATGCGCAAACAGATTCGCTCATTCTGATCACAGAAACATTTTTTTGCTAGAATTACTTTTTTGCGTGGAATAAAGTTCTTCCATCCCGAGGTCCCACTTACCGTACTCGCGACGAAGATTCCCATGAAGTAACGGGAGAAGAGACGTCGAGGGACAGAATGTCTAGGTTCCGCGGCATTATCCAGTTCAACCAAAACGCAAAGCACACTTTTCCACCATGTAGCTCCAACCTAAACAGATCTCAGGACTTGGCTAAAAGCGACTTCAAACGAGAACTTTTCCCAGCCCGGTGCACCTAACTGCATTAACCCCTAGCTTATACCCACATGACCCGTGTAAGCTATGTAGCATGAAACACGCCACCCTAGAACATATGTAACGATAATGCGCATAAAGACACGATGAAAATGCAGCTTCCGCAGAACTGCTTACGGCGGGGTGGAAAGCCGCACTCATCAGCTCAGATTAGCAAGATCTAATGCGGCCCACCCAGCGAGCACGGTAGGCGGCAGGGAGACTAGGTCTATGCACCGCCCTGGCGCGGCACCTACGCCTAAATCCGCTGGTTCGAATAAAGTTCTCTACCACCGCCACCACGATGAAAATGTAAACCAACGCAACAGGATAAAGTTCCCACCTCCTCCTGTTCTTTAGGGATGCTCATGGAAAGAACGGCACGAATACCATAACTCTCAGAATTGTGTTCAAGAACCCGGAAAGATAGCTCCCGTGAGGTGAACAATAATCCCCGCGCACATACATGAAACAAACAAAACGAAAAAAAATTACGAGGTGCATGTCCTTGTGCCTTGCTCGTGACTCGTGGGAAAAGCTGTATGACATAACAATCGATCTAGACGTGCGTCACTGCCCAATCCGACGTCTCCATTCTTCGTTGTTTTCTCGTCTCCCTGTGCAGTGGCGGCTGTTAGCCGGCGCCCTCTCACGGCACCGGCGGTCACGGACGGACGTGTCGGCAGCGACGTGTCCCTTGCTCGTGTTGGCTGCGTGCGTGCTGGCCGTGCGACAGGCGACGTGCCAGCCGACGCGCTCCATGGGACCCAAGCTGGTCGACCTGTCATACGTGTTCGACAAGAACACCGTCTACCCGTCCCCGTCGGCGAACTTCTCGATGGACGTCCACTACCGAAAGACCAAGCACGGAGTCCGGTAAAGAGTACGCATGCGCGCGTTGGCAACATAGCGGCAACGGCTGTGTGTCTTGACCGTTTGTGCCAAAATCTCGGACGTCATTTTTTTTATCGTTCACTTAGTTTCCCGTTGTCCTATAGCTCTGCTTTGTATGTTTTCGTAGGAAGGAAGCACTAGATGCCTCGTCAAACGCGAAATGTGGCCGTTGGCGTTAACAACACGAGTGGTCCAAAACGTTACGTGAGAACGTATACGAGAAACCGAAAGTCGCACAAATCATGCCACACAGATGCAAGAGTGGTTTTAAAGTAATTTAAAGTACTTCGGAGTAATCAGTAAAGAGCATCAGTTATTTACAGGTGAATCGGAACTAATGGTAACTGAATGATTTAAATGCAGAACGTCAGTTACTAAGCAAAACTAGAATAAAATGTGTGTTACCAAGTAAAAAAAAAGAAGAAACGGATAATGACTACGCAAAACAAAGGCAAACAAAACAATCTAATGTCTAAGGAATTAAAATGATGCATGACTAAGCCGTAATTAATTTCAGCGCCAATTTGTTTTATCGTGTCATAAGAAAGCCTGTACGATTTTTTTTACATTTCTTTTGGCCCTGATAAGAAGTGTATAGGAATGTGTTGCCTCGCTTCGGTGGCGTACCACATCCGCTCGCAATGTAGACAACTTCACTTGACCTCATGGTATACAAGAAATTACGCAGTGAAAGCGAAAGCACTAGCAAAATGCACTGGCGGGAAAAGTTATGAGAAGTACAAAGAATTAAAAGAAAATCAAGTCGCATGTTCAGAACGAAAGAAGCTGTATTCAGTGTTTACACCGCTACTTTGCTAATCTCACCTCAGCGTTTTATTGAACAAAAGAAATGTTGTAACGCGGGCACTGTTCTATTACCAAAACATGAAAGCTACATGTTAGTACTGATTGCGGTAGACAGACGCCATTAGCAGCATGAACTCATAGACAAGGCGAGTCGGCCCCTTGCGTACATGCTTCGAGGTTTAAAAATGCCTTGATATTAGATGCGAAGCATTTCTTAGCGAAATTCGGCGAGCTTGAGCGTATCTATCTATCTATCTATCTATCTATCTATCTATCTATCTATCTATCTATCTATCTATCTATCTATCTATCTATCTATCTATCTATCTATATATCTATCTATCTATCTATCTATCTATCTATCTATCTATCTATCTATCTATCTATCTATCTATCTATCTATATATCTATCTATCTTTCTATCTATCTATCTATCTATCTATCTATCTATCTATCTATCTATCTATCTATCTATCTATCTATCTGTCTGTCTGTCTGTCTGTCTGTCTGTCTGTCTGTCTGTCTGTCTGTCTATCTATCTATCTATCTATCTATCTATCTATCTATCTATCTATCTATCTATCTATCTATCTATCTATCTATCTATCTATCTATCTATCTATCTATCTATCTATCTATCTGGCCGCTTACGTTTGGCTGCTCTCATGGTCAACCCCTTAACTTGGCGTGAACAAAATTTAGCATGGGAGGTTAAGATCGTTTGACGAATATAGCGCGGTGCTCAACACATGAATAATGTCGCAATCCCGTCACGTACATCGTCAAACACTTCCCGCCAGACAGTGGCACATACTCTAGGGAGGGTATGTGCCGCTGGTATGTATGTGCCACAGGTGAGTGACAGTATCTGCCCAGGAACGACGGAAACAAGCATGGGCAATTTTAACACGATCAAGAAATACCCGACATTGGTAGCGTCGACCCGACAAGTGCAAAGAATAAATGTCAGAGTCCCAGCTGGAATTGAACCCAAGCATTCTGCGTGTCAATGATAAATTTTACCACAGAGCTACGCCATGTATCGGAACTACTTTTCAAATAAATGCTATTCTTCGTGAAACATCAATAGTGGTTGCAGTGCTGCCTACCCAATTTTATAAACATTACATATGTACTGATTCGATACAGCCGTCTTGTCGGGTTAACGTTAATTGTCGTTAGTCGCCATGTGCTGATGTTGGTTTGTGTAGCAGTGCCCAGGGCTAGTATCCTCGCGAGCATCAGCACTTCACATGAGCTTCTGGTGATGCTAATACGCATGTTCCAGTTGGCATCGTTCCACAAGTGCAAACAACTGGTTATATAAACATCTGCAACTATTCAACATATGTCTGCGCGTGCAACATTTGTACCTATATTAGGCGCCATTTCATGACGCGTCGCTCAATATCAAAATTGCAACACGGTCACCTTACCTCCGCATGCTTCGCATAACGTCGAATTCTCAGGTACGTGGGATCTGCTGAGTTTTCTTTTGAAATAACGCTTACCTCGCGTTGTATTCGTGTATTATATCGTTATGAGACAATGTCCCACAAAAGCGGTTACATAGGCACGGAAAAAGATGACGTGATTTTGGTGTAGGGCCCCCTTTGTGGGTGTGCGCCACGTAAACAAGGACCATCATCATCACCACCATCACCACCACCACCACCACCACCATCATCATCATCATCATCATCATCATCATCATCATCATCATCATCATCATAATCTCTTGTTCTCCATCTTGGCTCGCGCGTTGGCGCTGTGTAAATAAATCTTCAAATGCCTAGTTTCACGTGTACCTTCTCGTAACAATATCATGAATAGGCGTGCCTTATTGGGCTTTTGCACGTCTATAGATGTCGCATTCGTCTTTACATATTCGTTTATGGTTGGAATATCCGATAGCACCATACAACACTGCGGGGTCAAAGGCACTACACTCTAATGGGTTAAAAAATGACTATTTGTTACATTTATTGTCGAGTCCTGGCGTGTCACACATATATCTTTCTTTTTTTCTTTTTTTAAAATACATTAAATCTTTCGAAACGTCATGCTTACCATGACTCCCAGAAGAGAGTAAAACGACTTCCCAGAGATAGTTAGCGACTCTCTTTCAAAAAGTAATTATGTGGCAGCAAGCCACGAATAACCAAAAAGAAAGAGGTCATCTTTTCATTTTTTTTTCTTGAACTATACAGAACATTTTTGGCGCTCCTTCCCGTTTTTCGTAATTGAAAGGCATGACATCTTCAGTGCTTTACCAAATAATCTTCACCTGGAACAAGATCTTAGGACCTCAATCACGCACGTCGGAGCTATATACAGAACTGCACAAAAGCACTGATACCATTTCTGAACATTACAGCAAGTTGATTTACTGTCTGCGAGTCAGGGTGCATCTCTTATTCTTCTCCCCCTCTTCCCCTTTCAGCAGTGCCGGGTAGCCAACCGGGCTTAGTCCTGTTTATAACCTACCTGTCTCATTTCCCCCCATTTATTTCTCTCGCTCTCTTTCTATCTCAGAAGCGTACCGCATACTAAGGACCTGAGATGCCTCGCAAGTACACGTTTTCAGTGCACACGCCCGTATCACCAAACACAGGAAAGAGACGTGTGAAGCAGCTTTCGGAGCCACACGAAGTAGCGTGTATTTCTGTCGTTAAGGAAGGAACTGCATGGCGAGTGTCTCGGAAGATCGCAAACGCGAGTGCAGTGCGATGCGATTCTCGGGTTTCTTGTCTTCATTTTTTCAGTTGACCTTTGAGCTAGCTCCAGTTCACTGCGCGCTTTACAGGAAGCTCGACGAACTTTTGGAAGACGTCGAGACCTGTTAAACGCTTTCCTTAAAAAAAAATATCTCCCCTATTTCAGTCAGGTGCACACTTCCCACACTGTCTATTTCACGCCTAGTTTTGAAAGGGAAGAGGCAGAGCCAATCAACTTCCGTTTTCATCCGTTCGCTACACGGTTCGAAGTTTCGAATCAGCAGACACGATCTCTTGTGTTTTTATTGAAACAAAAAACAAACAAAGAAATTTTGTTGTCACCATTACTTAGCGATGGCTACCTTTTCCTTTTCGTTTATTGTGTTTATCGTTATACGATGTTATCTCTGGGACAAGCAAGTAGAGTTTACATTTGTGGGCTATAACGTCCCAAAACTACCATAAGATTATGAGAGACGCCGTAGTGGAGGGCTCCGAAAATTTCGACCACCTGGTGTTCTTTAACGTGCAACCAAATCTGAGCACACTGGCCTACAACATTTCCGTCTCCACCGGAAATGCAGTCACCGCAGCCGGGAGACAAGTAGAGTTTAATCAAGTTATTAGGAACAACCTTTCAGTGCGGTTGCACCTCTTATGATTTCAGGACTTGTCTCCGTGTATCTTGAACCTACAAGAGAGATGATAAAACGACAACTTAGTATTGAGGAAACATCTAGACAGTCTCGTAAGAAGAAGGTTTCAGTAGGTCACGCCTAGAAGCCGGCATTTCTCGCTTGGACGCGTCCAAAACAGCTGCGTATGAACCGACGTGCTTTTGGAAACCTTGCTCCGCGAGGCTGAGTCTTACCTCACGCTGTGCGTCGCAGCGTTCTTTCCTTTCTTTTCGAAGAAGAAAACAAATGGTATAAGATTTTCCTTTCAAACAAACTCGGTCGCCCGTGGAACGCCGCGCTTCCTGGAGGCATCGAGCGGAACGGTGTTTCGCAGTCTGAATCCCCCGTGATGCGTTGTAGCTGTGCGAGTATTCGCGCGTGAGAGTCGAGGTCTGACGCCGTGCACGTGCTGGACAAAAAGGAACTTCGAATGCTCCTCGAATCGGGATCCTGATTTGCAAGAACGAAAAGCGGGAACCTTCTTTCGTCCGAGGAAGAAGAGAGTGAGGAAGTTGTGCAGGGCTGTGGACGAGGTCAAGGCAGCGATTGAGAGGCTGGCGAGAAAAAGAACAATCGCATGTATTCTTGTTTTGCCTGTACCTCAGCGCCGCCGCTTGAAGAGCCTGGGTGGCTTCGACAGTTCTGAGTGTGCGAGAAACAGGCGCACGTCTTCCGCACGTAAACCGCAGTCATGTCGATGCAGTGAATGCGCGCGCGACCACCTTTATGCGGATCATTGTCGTCGTACGTCATCATCGCGATCGTCATTGTCTATACTGAGCGCTTCTCTGCATCTCGTTTTTCCGCCGCTGGATTCGATGTAGTATAATCCCAAAACTCGTTTCTCCGGCCAACCCGCGTCTATTTCGGTCTCTTCCATGCACCAGAAATAGATTCCGACATGGAGAAATCGACCGAATCCAACGGGCGATGCTGATATTGGTGCTTCAGAAGAATTCTATCACGCATATTCGATGCTTTAAAATGCATATTAAGTTCAAGCAGAGCCATGAGACATCGAGAGGAATGTTTTGATGCAATAACGCACACCCTTTCTCTGTCTCAGGCTCCATGCTATGTAGGTTGGCGTGGTGTGCGAAAACCAACTGCATTACACTCAAAACGCCCATTCATGGTACTGATGACGCACAGTAAAGCCAGAAAGGCACCACTTTTCGCAGTTCATTCCTTTTCTGACACAATTTCAGCTGAAGTGTAGTGTACGTATTATACACTCCTCTTTTATGGGGGGTACCCAGGAACAAACAAAAAAGTTTTATTATATTTATTTGTTAATATGTAACTGCTAGCCTCAAGTTGTAAGCTGGAGTGGCATTAAGAAATACAAATACAAAACAAATAAACAAATCAAGATACGGCAATCGTGTCACATGAATTGACAAGCACAAAAAAATAAAAAAAAGTGCTGCCTCCCGTGAGGCGGTGCGAGGCAAGCCCTTGACGTACCCTCATGAGAGGCCTAGGTCCGGCCACCTAAACTTGCTGGTTTCTTATAATAAAGTTGATTCCTCCTCCTCCTCCTCGTCCTGAAGAGGAACATACAAAACATATAAGCGACGTTTCAAGCACTGGTATGCGCAAACTGATAGCACAAAGAGATGAGAGTACTCCTTTTCACGCATTAGAAAAAAAAAAGTGTAGATGCGACAGACGTATCACTTGAACTGAAAGGGGTTAAACTAAATGGCAATAATGTACCTCTTTTTTTTAAGTCAGGACCGTGACCAGTACCGCATACAGCATCTGAATCATCGTGTAGAAGTATATATTATACGTTGCGATCAACAGAAAGCCCATTCTATGTGCTAAGCAGCCCTTCAAAGGAACTGTAAGAAGCGAAGTGCTCTTACGCCATGACTAAAGGGCGTTCAATGAAAGCTGACAAACGGCGACTCGTATACAAAAGCTGCGGCGAACATTAGGGACAACTACAGGCGCATTCCAGGCACGGCACGAGGCAATCAACCGCGACCTCCCCTTAGGCGTGAAAGCAGCCTGTAGGCACGCTTTTCAAGCGAGGCATGGTGTACAAGTACACAGCTGAGAAACAAAGGTTCTGCGTGTGTAGTGCGCGTTGAAAGCCGCAACGACACGGTACGTAACATTTTATTTATTTATTTATTTATTATTCATTTATTTTTGTTTATTTATTTATTCTCCTGACAGCGTTTATTTCGTGTGCTCAACCAATGCTGCGCAATCTATTGTTCGCGATGAGCGCGTGCCATCCCAGTAGGATCAACAGCACTATTAATTAGCTTGCGTTGATGTCCGTAACTGAGCTCGTCAGTGAGACAGGTGATCCCTAGTCCAAGGTGTTTGTCACGCACGTGTTGATGGTGGTGCCAGCACAAGTGCTTGTCTATTGTTTCGCCCGTCGCTGCGCTTGGCTCATGCATATAGTTGGTCAAGGCCTCGACTCTCGAGAAATCGGCTCCTGAATCGCATTCTGGTGACTTTATCCCGACAACATTCAACGCAATGGTTTATATGTCACTGCTTGCATCTTTCTTGAACTTAGTTGGAATCAATACAGGGGCGTTCGCGAAAGTCCATTCCTGATTGGAAGAATTTCAGCTCGCCTATGGTTCTAGCCTCACTGTTTCTATAAGATTGGTTTGATTGATATGTGGGGTTTAACGTCCCAAAACCACCATACGATTGTGAGAGACGCCGTAGTGGAGGGCTCCGGAAATTTCGACCACCTGGGGTTCTTTAACGTGCACCCAAATCTGAGCACGCGGGCCTACAGCATTTTCGCTCGCATCGAAAACGCAGCCGCCGCAGCCGGGATTCGATCCCGCGACCTGCGGGTCAGCAGCCGAGTACCTTAGCCACTAGACCATCGCGGCGGGGTGTTTCTATAAGAGCGTTAAAATTTATTGGAATATAATGTGTGACTAGGACTCAAAGGCGGAGTAATTCTTCTATATAGATGGTCCAATACAATACATCTCAGAAGAGTGCGTGAATATTCTAAATTGGTGTCTGTCTGTCCGTCTGTCCGTCCGTCCGTCCGTCCGTCTATCTATCTATCTATCTATCTATCTATCTATCTATCTATCTATCTATCTATCTATCTATCTATCTATCTATCTATCTATCTATCTATCTATCTATCTATCTATCTATCTGTCTGTCTGTCTGTCTGTCTGTCTGTCTGTCTGTCTGTCTGTCTGTCTGTCTGTCTGTCTGTCTGTCTATCTATCTATCTATCTATCTATCTATCTATCTATCTATCTATCTATCTATCTATCTATCTATCTATCTGTCTGTCTGTCTGTCTGTCTGTCTGTCTGTCTGTCTGTCTGTCTGTCTGTCTGTCTGTCTGTCTGTCTGTCTGTCTGTCTGTCTGTCTGTCTGTCTGTCTGTCTGTCTGTCTGTCTGTCTGTCTGTCTGTCCAATTGTTTGTTTGCTTGTTTTTAACATGGGAACAGAGTGCGGACGACCAAAAAAGCAACATAATATTCTTTTGCGACAATTATTTTTTCGCTTTCTTCATTTCTCGTCTTACACGCCGCTCGCAAGAAAGACGAGAGCTCAAGGCACGCGCCAGAGTGCTTCTCGAAAGTGAATATACTTGGCAGGCATAAAACCATAATGCATTCTTTCTTCCTCATACTTTCGCTTTCTGACGCGTGCTGTTATGCGGCAGGATGTGATATAGCGCTTCTGGCATTCCCGAGCGCTCCCATTTCAGAAGGTTCCACGCACACTTGCACCTGCACGCACAGATGTCCTCGCACTATAACGCCTCGATATCTACCACGTCCTTGGGGGAACGAATTACAGTGATTACGCAGATGCCCGGTCAAAACAACCCGGGGCGTCCAGGAATCGCGGAAGCCAGAGAGAGCAGGAGGGGGGAATGAAAGAGGGCAGGGTCCCTAATGCGATGGTGAGAATTTAAGGTGGCTCATTCACTCAACATCCGAAGGGCTTTCCCGCAAGGCAAATTCCATGGAACTCATGTTACGGCGTTTCGCCGCCTCTCTAATTGCACACTGAACTGCAAGAGCTACAACTGCATCGTATTAAACAAACAAAAAAAAAGAGGAAAAGGCAGTCAGTTGGTTGGTGTCATGGGCGCCTTGTCTTTCTGGCCATGTTGTAGGAGCTAGAATAAAGAGCTTAGTTATCGCTTATGTCAACGTATATTGATTTATATGCACATTGTGGGTGCAGCCTGATATATCTCCTAAACGTAACGACACTCTTTTGTAGCACTCTAGTCCAGCTATGCTTAAAAACACTCGAATGTACTCGGTTGGTTTAATATATACCCTTTCGTTTCAGAATTAAAATGGCTGGCATCATTTGTATGCGTCACTTGCGTGAAGGGTCAAGTTAGGCATGACTAACACTCTGATACCGGGTCCTTATGTTCTGAGGTGTAGGCACGCCCAGTCCCACTCTTGGAACTTGCAACTGTGCAATGAACTAGAGTACAGGGTGCATATAGTGTATCAAGAAGTGCAAAAAGTCGTCCCTTAATGTCTAAGGAGGATGAAAGAAAAACAGCTTGATGACCAGAGCACGTAGCACGCGCGTAATTGCACGTTGAATTCTCCCGAAGCCGCAGCGGTCGACGCACAGTGTGCCCGGAGCAAAGCGTGATGATTCGTGAAGCCTTACACTTGTGTTGACTTCCTTCGAATTAGTGACAGTTCCAGTATAGTAATGATATGCTGGGGGAGCAAACTGAACGGGGCTCTATTCAACGTATACTATCCCGTATACTATCTCCGTATACTATCCTTGTGTGAGTGTACTTCTCTTTAACTCTTTGTTCATTTACTGATCACAAAAAAAGCCATGTTCTAGTATAACTACGTCATTGATTTTTTTCGACTGGATGGCCCTGTGAACGTGTGTAAATACCGGTAAAACGCATTCACGCACCTTAGTATTCTCATAATTGTGATCGTAACTAGCACAAAATGTTTGTCTTACTCTAACGTATCTCTGCCGTCTTCGTTAAAGCACCTTAGAAATGAAGGGGAAAGGCGCTACGCTGACAAAGAGGAATATTAACTCCGCATTCTCGCTGCAACTTAGCCTTCGTGATCATTGTATCGTAACTGAAGGTACTGCCCTTTCGTTCTCAAGTTCCTTGCTTCTTTCTTCTCGTGTTTCCTTCAGGTACCAGGAGGAAAACATCTGCTCTTCGACGCAAGGCGGCACGCACGTGATCGTGCCTCGGCACCTGCTCAAGGGCCGCTGGTCCGTGACAGATCTTCCGCTCAACAGGCTGGTGGTGCCCGGCGCGGTCATCGACGTCAGCATCCAGGTTCTGCGTAGCCGCGATTACCGGCTGCGCATCACCGACGTCATGCGCTGGGAGGACATCCATGGACGGTTACCTCAGGGATGCGTTCTCTTCGTGCGCACCGGCTGGTCTCGCTATTGGCCCTCCTGGTACAAGTACCACGGACACCCAGCGGCGGGTGCAAACGGTACCTTCTCGTACCTGCCGTTCGACTCGAGGCCTCACCACCCGGGCATACACCCGGACACGGCAACCTGGCTCGTGTCCAAGCGGAAAGTGTACGGCGTTGGCATCGACGCTCCGTCTCTGGATTACGGCATCTCCAAGGATCTCGGAGCCCAGCATATCCTGCTCGCGGCAAACATCTACGGACTCGTGAACGTGGCCAACCTCCAGGAACTGCCGTCCGTCGGCTCGACGCTGTTCGTCTTTCCCATGAAGATACGAGGAGCCGGAGCCGCTCCCGTGCGAATATTAGCTGTGGTACCTTGATACATGAAAGCGGGTGTTTTTTGGACACTTACTCCAATCAGTTGCAGCGCTGAAGCAGCGCCTGATGCCAAGACGAACTGGTATACTTGCGAGGAAGACCAACCACGTTTTCTTGCGTTTCCCAGAATCGATATGGTCACGTTAGCGCAAGATGGGAAGCTAAATTTCCATTCACAGCATTCAGTGGAACATTTTTATTGAGGTAACTAGATGTCCGCATTTTCGGTAAGTACGGCACTATACACATGACATAATTGGCCGCAGCTTCAGTCTTGTGGACTGCAACTATTGACTTGGTCACGGCACTGTTCGGTGTGAATCAAGCCACTCAGTGCTGGCTTGCAGATTACAGTGAGACATTGTGAGCCACCCAAAGTTCAATAGTTATACAAATGCTTGTGAAATTTAGAGATGATCAGATTAGCAGCTGAGCCCTTCCTCGCAAATGACTTTTTTGTTGTATTTGTGTCGCTTACATATCTTTTTCTTGTAATTTTGCTCTAAAACATGATAAATTTTCAGCAACACAGAACGTACAGTGTTTTATAAAAAGAAGCCTACTAGACGAAGGTCGTTTGTTCACGCCTATCTAAAACGAAGTTAACACCGAATAAACAATTTATCAGTCTTATAGTTCACAGTCCGAAATACTTAGGGGCTACAGCATCATAATCTAAAACAGGCAGCTTTGTTTCACATTTTGGCGCTATGCTTTTCAATACTCATTCGTCCTCATTAGTTTTTTTTTTTTTTGCTGTTAGAATTAGCTTGTAGTGGTTCTGTAATCGAAGAGTTTCGTTTCTGGATATTTTCCAGTGCCTGCAGCCATCGCTGTTTACATTGAGTTTCGCCATACATCGCTTGTACTACTCTACACCATGCATTTTCCGGGAAAGTTTGGTCACCAATTTTCGGTATGGAGGCTTGATGTTCGTGTGACTTGACACCTTGAAATTATGGTCATGTACTGTCCGCGATTCTAGCACTGCATGCCTTCACGCAACTTTCAATTGAGAAGATAGCACTGAAACCTCGTGCTTCGAATAAGAACCATTTTGAACTCATTATGATTTTTTTTTTGTCACAACTCATTTTATTTCGCTATTTATTTCGCTCAAGACCAACAAGCAGTTCAGTTAGGGCGACCATTTCACAGTAAATTGGTCACCCCACATTACAGTGTAAACCTCACCACAAAGTGACGCTGGTGTGAACATTTCCGCCCCAAAAAAACGCATACACATTTACATAATTTTAAAAAGACAATTCGAGGTTTACAGTCGTGCTTTCAGTTTCCCTCTCAGAAATGTCTCGAGTGTTATTACCGTTGAAGTACATCGGTTTTAGTGGTCATGCTGAAAATTATGCAGCAATTTTCACATTGCGAATATTGTTGTAATTTTACAACTCACAAAAAATTGTGTTAAAACAACTTCTTGTAGGCCAAGATGTCACACGATGTTAAGATGACTTGGCATAGCGAGATTATACGACAAACGCGCAAGACATGCACACACACACAAAAAAAGAATTATTGTGTGCGATGTTGCTGGGTAATGTAACTACGTGTCTGCTTGCACGATTCATGCAACATCAGCCTAGTTGAGAAGCGTAATCAGTTCAACTGTTCTGCGCTTCGGTTGTTTGTAAATAAAAACCAACAAATTTCAGCACTTCTATACTGGCTACTTTTTCTTTGCGCGACACATGATTACGGTCGTCTAAAGGTTGCAGTGCTATACTACGGATTAGTGTTTCAGGTAAGTGGAAAAAGTTATGGTAAGATATTAGTGGGTATCGCTCTATAAAGCTAAAAATTTTAATAATAATAATAATTGTATGTTTTTGTGCCAAAACCACAATATGATATAAGGGACATTGTAGTGGAGGGTTTTGGCAACTTCCAGCACCTGAGGTTTTTTAACATTCATTTAAATTTAACTTCACAGGCCTCTAGCGTTATCCCGTGACATTATATGGTCAGCAGTCGTGTATCGTAATCACTAGACGACCACGGCTAAGGATATTCCGCGAGATTAAGGTAGAACATAAACAACCTGATCAGTGGAGTTGTTAACAAAAATTTGTATATATAAAGTTGGAAAAAGGAGAAGGCACAAGTGAGGTACGTTTTGTTTTGTTATTTAAATGAAGTGTCCGGCTTCTTACAATTTTCCATGCAGGTGTAGTCTCACACTGCGTTATCTTTTGTCTTTTTGCACGTTGTGTCTTGAGTAGTATGTGCTTTGTAAGTGCGCTACAGTGATAGAACTTCCACATTATTCCTTCTGATGTATAGCGGAAGTTTGACTATAATTTACTAAATTAATTAGCGATGGCCAGGTCACAGGGTACCGCGTTGCAATTTGGGCAAAGGGTATGCGTTCAAAAAATTCTACTACGTTGTTTAGACTACATTACCTCAGCATAAACGATCACATACGTACTACAGTGCGTCCTAATAGATTTTGTACAATGAATGACAGCACAACAAAAGGTTGCCGCAGCACGTATGTCTTAACGCATTCAAGCACTATCCCTGGCCGCCAAAGAAAGGTAACAGTCCACCCAGGAGGTCGCCGTTCAGCACGGTACCAAGAATGCCCGTGAAGATCTCTGGAATCGACGCAAACGCAGAAACAATGGTGTAAATTTAACGTGAAAATGCAAACATAAACATATAAACAAAGAAACAAAAAAGAAATGTAGGGAGGGAACAGGCTCAAGTGATACGGAAAGGGGCACAGTTTATGTGTTCTCTTTCACGGATAGAAATAGACGAGGAGACGAAAACCAAGAGAAGTAGCCGTTATCATAAGAAACACGCACCAAAGTAAGGTATCGGAACCAAAAAAAAAAAAAAGAATGCCGTACAAAGTGGAGGTCAAATATGTTTGTTCAGCAAGAGTTAGCGTTGTGCGATGAGCCAGTGGTCGGGCTAGGAAGCAAACCCCGTCCAGGATGAGGCAGTTCTCATGAATCTTGTACTTTCGTCCCAGCTGTCTATATATACATGTATACGTTTCTTTAACAGCAAGCGATGCTGGACGCGCGAATATGAGGTGTTCGAGTGTATTGCAAGGAGGTGCAAGATGAGCACGACGGTCTGTGCCCAGCTCGTTGGATCAATAAGAATAATGCACAGCCAACGCTTAGCATTAGTAAGAATGCTCTGCGACGACAATGAAAGCCACGGTGAGCAGGCCCGTAGCTAGGAACTTTTTAGGGTGGAGTAGGAGGGGGGGGGGCGTCATTTGTTGATATATGTCATTGGTAAAAAACACCTCTTCATCCAAATTTTAAGGAAAAAGAGCCCCCCCCCCCCTTGTTATGGGCCTGGAGGGGAGGCTGGGTAAAGTAATCTATACCAGAATTTTTGTGTGAGATGGGGAAAAAGGCCATATATGATTAAACACAGATTCCTTCACTGTAAAACCTGGCACGTAGTGAATGACCATTTTGGTTGTAATAAAGCGCCATGCATGTATGAAAAAAAAAGGACCAGAAAAGAATCCAGTATGGAGGCTCTGCAAAAGAACCCCATAAATGTGCGCTAAATCATGCAATAATGCAAACTTACAATCGTTTTGCAATGGACGCCACATGCACCTACAAAAATTTGCATTAGTGCATTACACTAGCTTCAACACTATATTGCGTTCGCGTAATTTACGTAAGCATATCACTTTTTTAAATTAATAATCTTGGTGCAGTATTTTTCCGAAGTTTCTCCGTACATCAGGTCACAATTCGCATAATTCTGGAGGTGTTTAGAGCGCATTTTAGGCATCTACTACTGGCCCTGCCTGCCAATTCACTTCCCTTTCATAAGATCGGAGCCAGAATATTTATGTTCTGGTTAACATCCTTGCCTTTCTCTATTATATTTATATCTTCTTTGTCTCAATTTGGACCGAGCTGATAAGAAGAACAAATAAAAAAAAGAAAAAAACAGAATCCCCCTCACCCCTCCCCCCAAAGAACACTGAATTCAAGTAGGCCATGTTGCTTTCGGTGAATGCATGGTTGCAAAGCATGCACTCGATGTAATGCATAGCCACGCTTTCTTTTGTTCCTTGTCAGCTGCGTTGTGTTTCTCACGGATTCTGACGGAACAACTGTCGAACCTATTTGAATGGTTAAGAAGAGTTAACGGTGAGCGAAAATATGATAAAATATCATTTTTGTGCTATTGGAAAGCTGCGGCTGTTTCTGAACCAGAATCAGTCATTTGTTTGTCACTACTGATTTTTTTTTCTTCTAATAATGGCATACTTCAAAACTTGTGCGGTGGCCTGCCATGCCCCCTTTCCTACGTAGCAAGGAATTCCTTGCAGTTCAAGCATCATAGTCATATTGAGACGTTACAGCTTACAATCTGTAGTGCATTTGACACATTCAAAAAATAATGGGCCCAAAACAGCTAAAAAGGGAAAAAAACAAAAGCATCAAGATTTCTGTCGGGAAATATCTATTATACCGGCGACGTCTTAGTATTGTCATCATTGGTAAGCACCAAACTGTTATCATTTGTTCATTAGAAGAAATGGATCCAGCTTGTAGGACATGCGAAAAGCTGTGCGGGCCTTATATTTTTGGATGGCAACAAAGGATCCCAACCCCACTCACGTCCTTTGCCCGAAGGACGCCGAACCTTGGTGTGAATTCAACAAAGCTCATTGAATGGTGAACCATTCGTTCATAAACAACACCTCCAGCATCTGTTATTGAGGCTATTAAGCCAAATTATCCAGAACTAGCTCATCCAAGTTGACTTGCTAAATTCATCCGTGGGAAAACTTGAAATCCTAATTAGTCATTGATTTGTCGTGTGGGAGCATACACCAAAAAACGTTTTCTTCAGACGCCAAACACTGAAAGTATGCACTCTGTTCACTTTTAATGATGGCAATATAGCCCGTGTGAATGTGCTGAACTCCTTTGAAATTTCGCCACGGGACCGTACAGTGCAGGGCCTACGCCCCCTTGACCTGTGTCGGCAGTATTTTGCTGTGTGGGCTGTACTGCAAGTGAGAAAGGAGAGTCGCCAGGCGAGACGTTTCAACATAAAAAAATATATATGGTATTGGTGGTGAGTATCTGACTGGTGCCTATTGAACGAGTCCGTCAATTTGATGTTATCTTGTGGTACGTTGGAATTAATGCATGTTTTAACTTTAAAGACGATTATCTCAAAGCATACTTTTTTGTAGTTTTGTTCCATAGTATCTAGAATCAAATATTTCGGACAGTACTTAGATATAGCAGCGTAGAGGCAACATACTGAAGCAGAATTATTGTTGTGTGAAAAAGTGCTGCTCTTCAACACGATATCTAACCGATATAACCTGATTGGTAATTAAGCACCTGAAGTAAGAAACTTATAAAAAGTTAGTGGTACAATTTTCAGCACTAAATCTGCTTCCGCGGAAAGAAGAATGGCCTATGATCACAATGATAGTAACACAGTTACTGAAATCCTTATGGTTATGGAGCAAAAAGGTACACAAACTTTGCCTAAAATACGCGGCTTGCTTTATTACCTTAAGCAACAAATTATGTACCGCCCTCTCGGATCTTCATTATCAAAACCACGTGGCGCTAGCTCGCAGAGACGTGCATTAAGGTACTTAGGCCAAACTACAGTGGGCCAAACGCTTATCTTCGTCTCCTCAAGGCTAGCAGAATCGGAATACACCTTTGGTCCATTCACCATGGTAATGCGGGGGTGCAGCAGTGTTTAACGAACAAAGGGGCATACAAACTCTTGCAGCTGTGGTCTACGCAGGACTGTAGCTACATATATATATGTATACCGATAAATTCATGGCAGCACAGTCATTTCAGTGTGGATTAAAAAACGCGTCTCAACAATCAAACTCTGCGGTGCTAGCACGGTTTTCGTTTTCCCCCACGTGAGAAAATTCTGCAGAGTCATGCGAGGCTTCGCTGCTCACTGACACACGATGGATCGCTGTTTTTATCAGCTACAAAGATTTCTTTCTTCTTTTTTTGTTTGTTAGCACCGTCATGCGAGTTTCCCCAGTCTGGTGGCATGCATGTCTTGCGTGTCGGCGGCGCTGCGCGCAGACAACCACGAGTGCGCATGCGCCACGAGTGGGACGCGAAGGGAAGTTTCTCATTCTGGCTAAAGCCACGCGGTTGGCGCGTCGACCACGTTGATGCTCTCAAGTGTTTGAAAATCTTGAAACACGACACAAAAGAAGATGTTTCGTTCATGCTATCCGTCTAAATGTTCGTCTGGATGCTCCTGCTTCTTGTGGAAAAGCATGTCGACTGCTTTACTGCGGACCGCTAGCGCGTCTGTGAAATTTGCAAAATGTTTGTTCTTCTTCAAACGGTGATGAGTCAAGCAAGCATCCTGTTTGCTCCCATAGTGTTTGCCGACAAATACACGTGTGAGTGAAAGTGTGCGTGGTGGGCAGATCGCATAACGAACACCAAACTGCTTCTGTGAGCCTTCACGGCTGCATCCTCCAGAATTCGGCCAGTTGATCATCACAGCTGCACCACAGAGCCCTCAGTATTTCGGTAAGTCGAAGCAACAGCGTCTCGTCACAAGGTTACGGGCCATATTTCACGTGAACGTGCTTTTCTACAAATGTGTGCGTGCAGGTTGCGCAAACCGCATGCGTCGTCCTGATAACACGTACGCTAC